TGCAGAGTACTTCTACTGAAAAATATAATAACCTTGGGCTTATATTCTTACATAAGCTTACAATTTCCCAAGTTTTATAAATTGTTCTCCCGAATCTCTAGTGCACACTTACTCTTGGCGTGGTTACTTGCACACATTTTGGAGTGTTTACTTCAGGTGTGCTTAATTAGTGGTCCATCAGTGTTATCTGGGGAGTGTGAAGTTCTTTCTCCTAACAGGCTCACGGGCTTTGTCTCTGCCTAGTGGTGGTGTTGACGGGTCACTGAGAGTGAAGCGTGTATCTGTTCTTAGTCCTTACACACGTGCCTCCCTCATCCCACTGCCATGAGCTAACAAGTCTCCTCTACAACCTTTCAGAGGTAATGTTCTGCCTCACCATAGGCCCAGGCACAATAGAACCAACTCCTCACAGACAGAAATTTCAAGTCATGAGCCAAAGGACCCTTCCCTCCTGTTACGTCTGATATTTTTGTCACATTGATAGCTAACTTATTGGGCTTATTTGAACATATTCTCTGCTGTAGTTTCCTACATAGACAGTTTATAGGAGGCAGATCCTTAGTATTTCAGCTTAGCTCTGACTCTTGAAAAATTGATCAGTGTCAGTAACATGTTATGTCATCAGGAGCCAAACAAAGCCATTGAATTACGTGACTGTTATGTCTCTTGTGGACCTCACCTTCAGAAGAAACTGTCTGTGCCAAAGGCTAATGGTCTCAGGCAAATTTATTATATCTGGACATACTGTTTTGGCTGCTGCAATCAATACAATTTAATTAATTCATCATTAGTGAGCAGCTTTCCTTGCTTGACTAAGAAGTGAGACCCTCAGGCTAGGGAGATGCTTAAGTCGGTAAGTGCCTGCTTCCCTGGTATGAGGACCCAAATTCGCATCCCTAGCACCCACATAAAAACTATGGCATGGTGAAAATACATCCGTACCCCTGGTGTGGAGATGAAGATGGCAGAGCTCTTTGATCAGTCATTCTATCTAAGTGATGCACACTGGCTTTGGAGAGAAACCCTGTCCCAAACTCTGCGGTGGAAGGCAATCCCGCAAGACACATAATGTCAACCTCTGGTCTTATATATACATGCTCATGAAAAACAGAGATACAGAAACTGAGAATTTTCTTTTTTCTAATGGTTATCTTTTTGTCCAGTAAATGTGCTATAATGAGATATTCCATCTTGAGGCTTCAACTTCCATTTAAAATCACTGGGAGCGTTATATAAGTTGAGAGTAATGTGGCATGTGCCTAGTAATGCTGACATGTGTTGTCTTAGCACTGTGACATGTCACTATGTCATAAAGATGGTGTTCACCATCTAACAGTTTACTGTGCTCAAGAACATGACATCTAGGAACTATTTTCCTTTCGTTGTTTTGATGTCATAAGTAGTCTCTGATGTTAAACATAATAAAACATCATGATGACGTGCTAAATGCTGTCGAGCGACAGCTGCATCCCCGTGATTCTCTGCCATTGGGCAATACATGAGTTATAAGAACCATGCTGCATCGTGCCTGCTCAGCTCTGCTGTCTAGTGCAGATGCTCCACACACTATAGGGAATAAGTCATTGTGCTAAGAAATTTGAGTACCATGCAATTTCCACATCATAAAATATTTTCAACCATTTAAAAACATACAGCCCCTCCCCCCCCCAAAAAAAAAAACATACAAAACCCATTCTTAGCTCACGGGCCTTATAAAAATAGGAAGCAGACTAGAACTGGCTGCAGTTTCTTGACCTCCTATTTAAACTGCAGCCAATTTTTAATAGCCAATCCATAGTCCCAAGATGTGTCAGGAGCTCCTGTTTGGCTCAACATAAAGCTGCATTTGTAGGCTATGCCAGACTCCCCTCCTACTCCATTTTACTTCCTGCCGAAACCTCCCTCTGGTGACCCTTTCTCGATGCTCCTCTGCCTCTTAACCCCATGGATGCCCGAGGATCTGGTTTGTTATCTTGCAGATTTCTATGGAGTAGGTACAGCTCATGTCCCTGCCCCACTGAGGGCCAACCTGGCATTGGTGATTAATGAAGATAAGAGATAAGTCCAACCTTTGCCCAAAGTCTAGAGGACAGGTTGATATTGACTCCTCCTACCTAGGCACTGGTGGCTGGAAGTAGGATGTAGAAGGAGGCATAAGCCCTAAAAGTCCTAGGTGCCCTTAGTTGTATGAGTGTAATGGTAGAAGCAGCCTTCTGACCCATGGAGTCCTCTGGAATTATGAGATGCAAGTAGTAGGCAGGTGGAATGTCTTTTCCATGTGTATTCCGGGAGAGGAGAGGGCATGAGCCTGAGGAGGAGGAACTAACTATGCCATACCCAGCATGCTCTGCTGCAGTGTAGCATGGCAGTGAGCCTGGGGAACCTGCAGGGTAACTGATGACTGAGTCCCATGCTCTGTAAGGTCTTGTGGCATTTGATAACCAATCGGACATAACACGTTAGATACCCTGCCTGAAACAAATGGACTACTAGAGTTATACTAGATATACTAGGTATACTAGAGTTAGGTTTACATATGTCATTATTATTTTCTAGCTTTCTACTCTATATCATAGTGCTATATTTGAAGATATTGACTACTAGCTTTTGTTAATAATTGCCACTCATTCAGTCAGTCTTTTGAAATTCATGTCCATACAGAAGCAAAAATGAAATGCCTTAATGTCATCTGCCACTGATTTCCAGGTACATATTCTTGCACCTTTTGAAATATTGTCTAGCATTCTGTCAGCTGTAGTGGCACACATCAGAAGGATAAGCTGTGGAGGCAAAGACAGGAGATCACGAGTTCTGGGACATTTTAGGCATTGCACTCTCAGTGTGAACAGGGTGTTTCTTAGCTTTTAGACATAGGACTTCTTTCTAGAAATCTTGCTATCTTCCTAATTTTCTATTCTGTTTACTAAATTCTTGTATGTTGCCTTAGACCATTTTCTGCTCCCACAGTAAGATATTTTTAGCAGCGTGATTCATAGAGGAAACTGGCTTATTTTGGTTCATGAAAAAGTGCAGGCGGGAGAGACAAAGGAGCTGACCTACCCTGCAATGCCTTGCCCTCGCAGATCTCTGAAGAGCACTCCACCCCCACAGAAACTCAGCAGCGCCCTCATCCCTCTTCAAGACCTTTCCCTTCCTCAGGTTGGAACAAAATTTCAGTGTGAGTTGGTGTGAACAAACCATATCATATGTGTCGGTTGATGATCACACTTTCTGGTGAGTTTCAGAATCTGTGCTCTCGAGTGCTACTTTGTTTTGACCAGGGAGCTCTATGCAACCACCTTTAAGTAACGGAGCCCTTGAGTTCTTCTGTACTTTGAACTTTTTCTCTTAGCTATTTCTACATTTTTTTCAGTATTTTTTTGTGTGTGTATGTGTTTAGGCAAATGGATGTGCTTATTTATATATGTGTTTGTGTCTATTTCTGTCACTCCTCAGTTTATTTTTTGAGACAGCATCTCCTGCTAACTTGGAGCTTTCCATTGTGGCTGGATTTGCTGATCCCTCAGCTCCAAGGATCCTCCTATCTCCCCTCCAACTTAAGGTTACAGGTGCACGTCTTCACGCAGGGGTCTGCATTCAGATCCTCATGCTCTTCACTGACCATGCCATCTCCCTAGGCCCTGTGTATTATAGCCAAGTATTACTGTTTTGATCCAGCACAGTCCTTATATTTGTTTGCGAAGAGAGTCTTTCTGGTTTTTGGAGACAGGGTTTCTACTATTCTGGAACTCATCTGTAGGTCAAGCGGCCTTGAACTCACAGAGATTCACCTGCCTCTGCCTCCTGAGTGCTAGAATTAAAGGTGTGCACGTGCACCACCACCACCTGGTTTATGAAGAAGGTCTTAATGCTTACCCAGACTGGCCTTGAACCTCAGCCTCCCAATTCTTAAAATTACAAACATGAACCACTAAACCCAGATGAATGTGGGGCTTTGATTAGAATAAATGCTTTTGAGATTGAACCTGGGCCTTGTATATGTGAGCTACCTTTAAGCTTCATTATTAATTTATACCCTAGACGTCTATATTATTTATTTGTTTATTTGTTTGTTTCTTGGTTTTTCAAGATAAGGTTTCTCTGTAGTTTTTGAAGCCTGTCCTGGAACTAGCTTTTGTAGACCAGGCTGGCCTCGAACTCACAGAGATCTGCCTGCCTCTGCCTCCCGAGTGCTGGGATTAAAGACGTGTGCCACCACCGCCCGGCCTTCTGTTTTATTTTTGTTGTTACTGTTGCCATCATGCAAATGCACTTCGTTGCTAAACAATCAATTGAAAAGAAAAAAAAATGCTGGACAGTGGTGCACGCCTTTTATCCCAGTACTCAGGAGGCAGAGATAGGCGGATTTCTGTGAGTTCAAGACCTGCCTGGTCTATAAAGCGAACTCTGACAGCCAGGGCTACACAGAGAAACTGTCTACAAAAACAAAAGCAGAAAAGTCACAGGTGGGTATGTACTTAAGGAAGTAAAGCCTGGCTACAGACCTGCCCTCTGTAGCCATTTGGTAGCCCAGGTAAGGAGATCTCCTTTCAGAGTCTTCAGTACCTTGAACCAGGAGGAGTTGTGAAGGACAAAATGGCAGTGGGCCTTCCCAGATGCTGAAGACCTTTCCATGGTCTATACTGAGCTCTGTGAGGATAGTTTAAAACACATGTTTGAATACAAAATAATGGAAGGGTGTTTATTTTTGGAATGTAATGGATCTCAAAGGAGTTTGCAGTTTGGAGAGAGACCTGGCCTGCTTGCTCCATGGCCTCTAGACAGGGCACTGTGGCTGAAGTTCTTGCTTAGCCCATAGGAAAGCACACAGGAGCATGCAGGGCACACTTGTAATCCCAGCCCTCACAAGGCAGAAGCCGATGATCTCTGTGAGTGTCACTGCACAATGAGACCCTGTCTATAAACTAAGGCCATCCCCAGGGCAGTGAGCTTGAAGTGCTGCACTGATCTCATACCTTTCTCATTCTGCCGTGTTTCAGTTGTTCACCACCAGGCGTGCTCCTGGAGAAGGACTATGAGGTTTACCGGGATTACAGTGCTGACGGCCAGCTCCTTCACTACAGGTAAATTGCCTGATGTTGGACACACCTGTCTGCTGATCTGAGTGTTCCTGGGTGGGCTGGTGTTGGAATAGTTGGAGCAGAGTCTGGTTGAGCAAGAAGCAACAGGAGCACCAGGAGAGGCTGTAAAGACCACCAGCCCCTTGGGTGTGGGCAGAGGACACTCACAATTGCCCTAACTTCACTGGGAATTCCATTTCAGAAGATCCTTGGTGCTCTCCTCAGCCTCTGGCAGAAGGATGGGGTGTGAGGGATCCTTAATGTGTGGTCCACCCTCAGGGAATACTGGCTACATACTTTAGAGCACTTGCCAGGCCCAGTCAGAAAACCTAAGGTAGTCAAAGAGAAGAAGCAGCTTCTGGCTTCTTGGCCCAAGGTCCTCAAACAGAAAAGTAGCAGTCTTCTTTCTTGGTAACTGGTTTGCTGTGGGAACATAGGCAGAAAGCAAAGTATTATCCCTGAGGGTGGTCAGGGTCCTTATCACGGACCACTCAGCAACAGCATTGGTACTGGGGAAGAAGTTGAAAATTTGAGAGGCCCTGAGAGTTTACTTAGCCAAATGGATTTGTTTCCTAAGTAGAGACAGGTGTAGAAGGGAATCAGCATCTGCCCTGGCCCTTAGTGTACTATGTAACTACAAATGTGTTCCAGGTGTGTTCCTCCCTGGGCTTCATCTTCTCATCAGCAGTATGGGTCTAGATGGTGACAAATCAAACCTCAGCTCTGGCCACAAGGCTTGAGATTTTCCATGCCTTTTAAAACACCATAGTGGGCCAAGGAGATGTACTCTTTACAGATGTGCCCATCTAGTCTTTGGTTGGCAAGCACTGCCACAACCCTGCTAGCCCTGGGGAGCTATTACCCCTCAAAATCAGGAGCCTGGCTCACTAATAAGTTTTCAGGGTGGCAGGTACCCCTTACAGGCACAAGTCCCAGTGGACTAAAGAGGCTCTCTAGGTCTTTCTAGATAACTTAGATATGAATGGCAGATGGGAGAAGCAAGCCCACTCCAAGATCCTTCCACTCATCAGTCCTCATGTTAGCAGTTCAGCTACTCTCAGCCCTATAAAAACATGCCAGCCACATTAGCTGACATGACCAGCCTCTGCAGAGGCCTGCCTAAAGGCCCTCCTCTGTTGCAGGAGGGCTCGCTTGTTCTGGGTCAATTGTTGCAAGGTGAGGGCCTGCTTGTTCATCCTGGCTAGCTTACACCCAAAATAACCACACAGAAACTGTATTAATTGAAACACTGCTTGGCCCATTAGCTCTACTTTCTTTTTTTTTTCTTTCTTTCTTTCTTTCTTTCGTTCGTTCGTTCGTTCGTTCTTTCTTTCTTTCTTTTTTTTTTTTTTAATTTTCGAGACAGGGTTTCTCTGTAGTTTTTGCCTGTCCTGGAACTAGCTCTTTTTTTTTTTTTTTTTTTTTTTTTTTTTTTTTTTTTTTTTTTTTTTTTTNTGGTTTTTCAAGACAGGGTTTCTCTGCGGCTTTGGAGCCTGTCCTGGAACTAGCTCTGTAGACCAGGCTGGTCTCGAACTCACAGAGATCTGCCTGCCTCTGCCTCCCGAGTGCTAGGATTAAAGGTGTGTGCCAAATTCTTCTGTTGTGGAACTAGCTCTTGTAGACCAGGCTGGCCTCGAACTCAGAGATCTGCCTGCCTCTGCCTCCCAAGTGCTGGGATTAAAGGCGAGCGCCACTACCAACTGGCTTGCTCTTAATTTCCTATTGGCTAACTCTTACATCTCAGTTTAACCCATTTCTATTAATCTTTGTATATTGCCACGTGGCAGTGGCTTACTTAAGGCCTAGTCTGTCAATAGTAGGGATTCATGCCTGGTAGTATTAACCTGTGACTGGAAGGTCAGGGACCCTAGGGGAAAACCTACTACTGCCACTTTTCTAAACAGTGTCTGAGTACTTACTGTATACACACAGGTCAGTATAGCTCTCACCCCTCATCAGAGGAGCTTCTTCTTTGGTTTGGGTTGAGTTTTTTGAAACAGAGTTTCACCATGTAGCCTTTGCTGGCTTGCAACTCACTTTGTAGACCATGCTGAACTTGAACTCACAGAGATCCTCCTGCCTGGAATTAAAGGCATGAACCTTCACACCCTTCAGAGAAACTTCTTTTTTTCAGTAAATAGAAACCCTTTCTGACTGGTCTCTGCCTTAACTCTTTGGAAAAGGAAAGTAGCTCAAGAAATGAAGGTCTGGGGCTGGAGAGACGACTCAGAGGTTAAGAGCACTGGCTGCTCTTCTAGAGGTCCTGCAGTCACATGATGGCTCACAGCCATCTGTAGTGAAATCTGGTGCCCTCTTCTGGCCGACGGGCATACAAAGAGGCAGAATGTTGGATACATAATAAATAAATAAATCTTTAAAAAAAAAAAAAAAGGAAGAAGCTGGGCATTAGTAGCACACGCTTTTAATCCCAACACTCAGGAGACAGAGGCAGGTGGATCTCTGTGAGTTTGAGGCCAGCCTGGTCTATTGAGTGATTCCAGGACAGGCTCCAAAGCCACAGAGAAACCCAGTCTTGAAAATCCAAGAAAAGGCAAAACAAAGGGCAAAAAAAAAAAAAAAAAAAGAAAGACAGAAATGAAGAGCGGTTGAGGTGGCTGAAGAAGTGTGACTGAGAGGGGCTGGCACCATTCTCCAGACAGTTTGTCATCTGAGAGTGAATGAGGGCGCAAGAAAAAATTTTTTAAAAAGATGAGGGTCATGTGTACCTGGCAGGTAAATGGACAGATATTATTTTATTTGGCACTGTGCTGCTCTCAAGGTCCATAACCACATCTTCTAAATTTGATAATGAGTTGGCTACAGTAGTACAGCCTATAATCTCAGCACTCAGGAGGGGGAAGCAGGGTGATCAAGAGTTTAGTGTCATTTCAGCCACAGAGCAAGTTTGAGGCCAGTCTGGGCTACATGAAATATTGTCTCAAGGAAAAGGGGGGAGATTGTGTTAGAACAGAAAATAGTAGGGGAAGACCAGCGTGTCACCTCCCTGTGAACCCACTGTTTGACTGTCAGTAGTATGTTCGTGCAGTACACTTTAGCATTCTAGGTTGAAGATTTACCACCTAATCCTTACTACTAGACTGCCACAGGAGGAAGTTAACTTAGGTTGCAAGGAACAAAACATTCAAAGATATACCTAAAGAAATTATGAAAAGCCAGACATGGGCTCATACCTCTGATCCCAGCATAAAGGAGGCAGAGACAGAGATAAGCAGATCTCTGAGTTTGAGGCCAGGCTATAGCACAGTCCACATAGCAAATTCTGGGACAGGCAGGGATACGAAGAGAGATCCTGTTTCAAAATGATGATAAATTATGAAGATTTAAACCAGTCAAAAGCACGAGGAGCCGAAAAGGTAACTCAGTGGTTGAGAACTCTAGCTCTTTTTCTAGAGGACCTGTGTTCACTTCCCAGCACCATTGTGGGGCTTGTTATAGGGAGAGGGCCCGCTTGTTCTTCCCTGCCGCCCAGCTAGCTTAGCCCCGAAATAACCACACAGAAAACTGTACTAATTAAATCACTGCTTGGCCCATTATCTCTAGCCTCTTATTGGCTAACTCTCATATCTTAATTTAACCAATTTCTATTAATCAGTATATCGCCACATAGCAATGGCTTGCCGGGAAAGATTCAGCATGTCTCTAGCGACTCCATGGCATCTCTCCCCTACTCCGCCTTTCTTCCTCCCAGCATTCACTTCTGTCTTCCCTGCCTACCTAAGTTCTGCCCTATCAACTAGGCCAAGGCAGTTTCTTTATTCATTAACCAATGAAAGCAACACACAAACAGAAGGACCTCCTACACCAGAGGCTCTTACCTGTCTATAACTCCAGTGCCTAGAGATCAGGTTCCTCTTCTGGCCTCATCGGGCATGGATGTACATGTACACAGATATACATGCAGGCAAAACACCTATGCACTTGAAATAAAAAATGTAAAGTTTCATGTGTAGAGATGCATGCCTGATGTCATAGATTTTATTTGCTGCATTTGTTGAGGGAGGATTGCTGGAAGTCACACCTAGAACTATATACAAGTGCTTTTCATTGGGCTGCATCTCCATACCTACACGTTTGTCTTTGTTTTTCAAGACAGAATCTCAGTATTCTACTGGCCTAGAACTCACTTTGTAGAACAAGTTGGTTTCCAAGTACTGGAAAGGCTTCCACCTTTCCAGTCTCAAGATTAATCTGCTTAAAAACAGACTGGATAAATACCTCAGTGGTTAAGAGCACTGGCTGCTCTTCCAGAGGATCTGGATTCGGTTCTCGTTGCCTGTATGGCAGCTAGCAAGAGTCTGTAACTCCAGTACTAGGAGATCTGCTGCATTCTTTAGGCCCTGACAGCCACTGCATGCACATAGTGTACAGATAAATATGCAGACAAAATACCTATACACTTTTAAAAAATAAGCAGAAATGAGTGTGATAGTAGACACCTCTAATCTTAGCACTCGAGGCAGAGGCAGGAGAATCTCATATTCAAAGCCAGACAGCCACACGGCCTATCTAAAATAAGCAAACAGCATAGTTAAGTAGAACACTAGTAAATATAAGACAGATGAGAAGAGATGGAGAAGTGAGAAATTTAGACCATCTCATGATAACTGAATGGTGCACAGTGAATTGTATTGGAGTCCCAGAAGAGAAGAAAAAAGTAAACATGAGACTTGAAATCACAGTAGCTGGTTTTCAAAAACTCATGCAAGATTATTCAGCCAAATTCAAAAGGTATTGGAAACCCTAGTCAGAGGATCACTTCAGCTGTCTGAGGGGAGAGCAGGAACATCTTTCTTGGAATACTGTTCCAAGCTTCTTGGTACTTCAAGCATAGTCATGAGATGCAGGGCTCTTTCTGACCTCAGGCCTATGGGATAGGACATATATAAGCATTGTGTCTGATGTCCTTAGGGGCAGTACTACCTACTTCGTAAGCAAAAGACATTCAGAAGATGCCAGATACCCACCATAACCTCCCTGGTAAGGGACATTTGTGAGTGCCCTTGACCTGATAGAGGTATTAGTAGGGAGCTGAGAGAAAAACAAGTATCTTTCTGCCAAGGTAAAAGTGGTGATCAAAGCAAGGGAAAGGCCACAGGAGCCATCTTTTGAAACTGGACCCTGCGGTACTCATATGGTAATAGGTTTGGGCTCTTCTGATACCTGAGCCATTGACTGGCACCTCCAGAAGCAGTGCTCTGCCTGGTACTAGACTGAGCAAGAAACAGCTCTGAGGTGGAAGAGCTCTAGAAAGAGCACAAGACCATTCCAAACGGACCTAAGCATGAGGAAGATGCTGGGAAAGTCTCAGGCTGGATGGTGGGGCTAGACTTAATTCTGCCAATAACTGGTGTCACTCTCCATGCAGGACCTCCTCACTGCGGTGGAACTCTGGTAACAAGGAACGCATGCTCATCAAGGTTGCTGACCGTGAACCCAGCTTCCTCACTCCCCAAGGCAATGGCTATCCCTCAGACAGCCAGGTGGGAGGGCATCACCGCAGACCCTCTGGCAGCCAGCACTCACCTAGCCTGCAGACCTTTGTCCCTGACACTGATGGCACTGTCTTCTTTCCGGAGAGGCGGCCCTCACCCTTCCTCAGGAGGGCTGAGCTCTCTGGAAACTGTTCTCCACTGTTGATGCAGCCCCGAAAGCCCTCCAGTGACTCACAGCCCTCCTCCCCACGCTATGGATATGAGCCCCCACTCTATGAGGAGCCTCCAGTGGAATACCAAGCCCCCATTTATGATGAGCCCCCCATGGATGTACAGTTTGAGGCCAACAGCCCCTACCAGACTGGCTCACCACAGAGGTCACCAGGCCGAAAGCCCCACCCATTCCTGCAAACTACTAAGCAGACCCCGACATCACCTTGCCAACAGCTGATGCGCACCAAGCAGAAGTGCCCAGAGCGCTTTCTGAGCCTGGAATATAGCCCTGTGGGCAAGGAGTATGTGCGGCAGCTGGTGTATGTGGAGCAGGCAGGTTCCAGCCCCAAGCTTAGAGCTGGGCCCAGACACAAGTATGCACCCAACCCAGGTGGTGGCACGTACTCCCTGCAGCCCAGCCCCTGCTTACTGAGAGACCAGCGCCTGGGGGTCAGGTCTGGAGACTATAGCACCATGGAAGGGCCCGAGTCACGCCCAAGCCAACCACCTACACCACTGCCCCAAGCCCAGGAGGATGCCATGTCCTGGTCCAGTCAGCAGGACACCATGTCTTCCACAGGTTACTCCCCAGGCACTCGTAAGAGGAAGAATAGAAAGCCCTCTCTGTGCCAAGTCCCTAGTACCTCATCCACTGATGGTCCTGGGGACCTTCTAGAAGAGCAGCCTCTGGCTGAAGAGCATTCTCCATGCAGGTCCAGCCTTACGCCAATAAAGGCTGAGGCAGACCTAGTACGAGGCACACCTGAGCCCTTCCTGGCACAGGCCCGACTGGCCTGGGAGGCACAACAAGCCCACTTCCACATGAAGCAGAGGGGCAGCTGGGACTCCCAGCAAGATGGCTCAGGGTATGAAAGTGATGGCGCTGTTCCACTGCCCATGCCTGGGCCTGTGGTACGAGCATTCAGTGAGGATGAGGCATTGGCACAACAAGACAACAAGCATTGGAAGCGGAGCACCTTTGAAAAACTTGGCTTCCCCCAGATCCTTCTGGAGAAGAGCATCTCTGTGCAGACCAACCTGGCCTCGCCGGAGCCTTACCTCCACCCCTCACAGGTGAGGGCATGGGGAGGGTGGACGGGAGCTCTGGGCCACCAGACATCAGGGCAGCACAGGCAGAATGGGGCCTGGGTGTGCCTGGCATCCATGGCATGAGTGTGACACCTGGAGGTTTTAGAACCCGAGTCTCAGACCTCGTGTACCAGTTGTCAATGAGGGTCCACCTGTAGGCTGCCACACCAAGGCCTGAGTGTCTGTTTTCACAGCTCTGCCCTCTGGAATCCACCAGGTCCCAAGATTTGACACTGACAGTCTCACTGTTGCTTCTGGCTCCATTATCCATGCTAGTTTGCTACATCTGCCCAGCAGCAGTAGAGCCCACAGAAGGTGGAGTTAGAACCCAGAGGCCTCCTTGAGATGGTGTGGCTGGTTTAAATCCACCCACTGGGGAAGGTTTCAGTGAATTCTAGGAAGCAGCTGTCTTGGGTCCTCACGTGGCTTCAAGGACAAAGCTACCATTTGAGAAGGGGCTCTGATTGTATAGGCAGAGGGAGGGACCAACAGGGTCAAGCCCTAGACAAGTGATAAAAGAGCCAGTCCTCCAGCACTAGGGTCACAGGGTCATGCAAGGTGGAAATAGAACTGGTAGCTTGGTAGCTTTGCCTGTAGGAGGCAGTTGCTGGCCTTCCTTAAAGGTGTCAAGATGAGTTTGTATCCCCATCTAAGATACCTTGGACCTCCCTCACCCAGTCAGGTTTCCTGAGAACAAAGACCAAGGCTATTACTCTATCCTCAGCCTCTTGGTCAAGTTGAGACTTGCCTGACTGGCTCACACCTCTTAGGGTTATAGTCCAGCTGGGCCTATTTGCCTGCTCAGCCCACCCTCTGATGGCCCAGTCCCATTTGTCCTTCCCAGTCTGAGGACCTTGGTGCCTGCGCACAGTTTGAGAGCAGCCGGCAGAACCGCAATGCAGTACCCAGCTCCAGCTGTGTCTTCCCCACCTTCACACTGCGTAAGCCCTCCTCAGAGACAGACATCGAGAACTGGGCCTCCAAGCACTTCAACAAGCACACCCAGGGTCTCTTCCGGCGAAAGGTGTCCATAGCCAACATGTTGGCCTGGAGCAGTGAATCCATCAAGAAGCCCATGATTGTGACCAGTGACCGGCATGTGAAGAAAGAGGCCTGTGAAATCTTCAAGTTAATCCAAATGTACATGGGTGACAGGCGAGCCAAGGCAGATCCACTGCATGTGGCCCTGGAGATTGCCACCAAAGGCTGGAGTGCACAGGGCCTACGGGATGAGCTGTACATCCAGCTATGCCGGCAAACCACAGAGAACTTCCGCCTGGAGAGCCTGGCCCGTGGCTGGGAGCTCATGGCCATCTGCCTGGCCTTCTTCCCACCTACCCCCAAGTTCCACTCCTACCTGGAGGGCTATATCTACCGGCATATGGACCCCGTTAATGACACCAAAGGTAAGGCCCAGCATGTGGGACCCTCGGCACCCCAGCTTTGCTACTGCTGAGGTAAGGGCTATGGAGAGGGCTCCTAGCCATGCTGGGTAAAACCGGCCAGTTCCAAGAAGATACACAGTCCCCTGGAAGACCCCAGACCCGTGTTTCCTCTGACTTGTAGGCCTCTTCAGAGAATCCTATCTGGAACTCTGAGAAGAGCCTAGGTAGACCTGGCAGAAATAAGGATATGTAGCCTTGTATATACTCTGCTCCAAACCTACCAGGACAGGTATTGTCAAGGTCCTATACCCTTACCATACTCTATTTTGTTATCCTGTTGTTAGAGAAGATGTTCAGGGAGGCTCATGCTGTCTTCTGTGTGGGGTCTGGGCCAATAACCTAAGCAAGGAAAAACATGGTGACCATGGAGATCAGTCAGCGAGGCATTATGAGCTGTGTTGCCCTGTGAGGGCAGAAGGTAGTATACTATCATAGGTCTCTTGCTTGCCTGTGACTGCCTAGGGCCAAGTACAAGGCCCACAGAGATAGGCCATGGTTCTGTCAGCTAGACAGTTGCTCTGAGCCCTAGGCTAGCTAGAGTGGGCACAGGGCAGAACATAGGTAGCTAGCTGTGTGGCCATCTTCTACCTCAATAGTTACAGGTACCTGTGGAGTATAGCCACAGAACTGATGTCCAGATGGAAACCCACATGCTGAAACACACACAGTACTGTGCATTGCTCCTTAGGAGGAGAAGAGTCTGTCTTGGACTAGAAACTGAGGTCCTGTTCAGGGCCTCTAGGCCTTGTCCCCAGCAGGTATGGGGAAAGCAGTCTTCATAATACTGTGGGGGTAAGTGTGTGCACATGAGGACAGGACTGAAGCTGCGTGACTTGAGCAGGCTCCTAGGGAAGGTGTGCAGGGCATAGGTACCATGTTGTACCTCAGCCACTTGGGAATGAAATTTCAGAATACATGGAATTTCTACCCCAGGCATGCGCTTTTTGTCATATGTCCTGGAAGATGCGTAGCCTTGCACATGGTCTATGTTCCCTTGCCTACACTGAGGGCCAAAATCAGGTTCCAAGCAGCTTGGGCCTACTATAGGCCTTAGTGGGCAACTCAAGAACCCCAGTCTTTGGTCCTCTTAAGCTTTTCTGAGCATCAGGGGAATCCTGGAAGCTGTTTTGTTGACCTCATAGATCACTTCCTTGTCCTCTTTTAAGGGGCCTTCAAATTTATTTGATCTATAGGTTAAGAAAATGTCCCTCTACTGCCTAGCACAGTGTGAGGCCCATAGTATACCACCACAAGAGTATACTTGAGTGAGTCCGTGAGCCACTGAAGAGATGATCCGAGGCTTAGAAATCCCTAGGTCAGCTACCCAAGAAGACTGTAACTGAGCTATTTCTGTAGGGTCTCCTGTGATACTACCCTTCACACAGAAGTGTCTGTGGATGCCTCTTTCCCAGTGTGTAATACACATGGTGTCATGGCTAACAGAAAATAAGGAGATGGCTTTAGCCTGTGGGCTGGGGTTTGACAGCACCCTATTTAAGGCCCATAAGGCCTTATCTCTGGATGCTTGAATGGTAAGCAACCAACATGTGCCTTGCATCCAGGCCGTGGGGCCTGGGCTGCTCTCACTGTCAAAACCTTCATCTCCATCTCGGGGTTGCCTCAAGTTTGCCTGTGTGCAACTTTGCTTGGCCTGGAGCCCAGAAGAGACCTCTGCATACAAGCTGATCGTCCCTTTTCAGCAGGCATGTTCAAGAATATGGTCCTTGCCGGACACCTATAAAGCCAGCACTCGGGAGGCAGATACAGAATTGAACTTTTTTTTTTTGGGGGGGGGGGTATTTGTTTGTTTTCTGGTTTTGGAGACAGGGTTTCTCTGTGTAGCCCACACCATCCTAGAACTCACTGTGTAGACCAGGCCAGCCTTGAACTCAGAGATTTGCCTGCTTGTGCCTCCCAAGGCTGTGATTAAAGGCATGCAATACCGCTGCGAGGTTGCTACTCCATATATTTTTTTAAGTAATTTGTTTATTTTTATTTTATGTGCATTGATGTTTTGCCTATGTGCCTGACTGCATGATCTATGCTGAATCTCCTAGAATTGGACTAGATTGGAGTTACAGACCTGGGATTGAACCTAGGTCCTCTGTAGACCAAGCTGGCTTCAAATTCACCCAGATCTGCCTGCCTCTGCCTCCCGAGTGCTGGGATTAAAGGCGTGTGCCACCACCACCCCGGGGGTGTGTGTGTGTGTGTGTGTGTGTGTGTGTGTGTGTGTGTGTGTGAGAATGTCGGTGTGAGGGTGTCAGATCTCTGGAACAGGAGTTACAGTTATGAGCTGCCATGTGGGTGCTGGGAATTGAACCTGGGTCCTCTTGAAGAGCACTCCATGTTCTTAACCGCCGAGCCATCTCTCCAGCCCCTTACTCCATATTTTTTAAGACTTTCCAATGTCTAGCTAATGGTGGTGAAAAGCTATCTATGGTGGCACACACCTGTAATTTCAGCACTTGGAGGCTGAATTAGGAGAAGCATAAATTTAAGCTCAACATGATGACCCTAACATTAGTAAAAGCTACATGGCGAGATACAATCTCAAGAACAAAAAACATGAACAGGGTCTGGAAAGGTGGCTCAGTGGTTAAGAATGTATAGTGCTCTTGCAGGAGTACCAAGTCCGATTCCCAGCACCCATATTTGGTGGCTCTTAACCAACTGTAACTCCAGTTCCAGGGAATCTGATGCTTCTAGCCTCTGGCCTCTTTGGATACTTGCACCTACATAAACACACAACACATATTTGCACGCACACATACATACATTCGTACACAAACATGCTTATTAAAAAGGTCTTTAAAATTAGACCTTGTCTTAGATATTGTTCTGCTGTGAAGAAACACCATGGCCAAAGCTACTCTTAAGCATTTCCAGCGCCCTCTCACACTGGTCATGACTAACCTCTGACACTGTGTGACTTCTGTACTGCAGAAGAGCAGCGTGCTGGAGGACTTCCCACCACTAGCTTGTTACACATCTAGAGTAATGCAGTCTGGTCTGCATGTGACCATCACAGAGGTTCAGAAACAGTCCCACTCAAAAGCAGGTCAGTGAATAAAGGGAGGCCTTCCTCGAATGGTGCTGTAGCCTTGGCGTCTGTCCTGGAACTAGCTGGCCTCAAACTCACAGAGATCTGCCTGCCTCTGCCTCCTGAGTGCTGGGATTAAAGGCGTGCGCCACCACTGCCCAGCTGAGGAACTGGATTTTCAAACACAAAAGAAAACTAATCCCAGCCTTTGTTTGCACTGTATGAAGAATTGGTCATAACTCAAAATGGGCCATAAACCAGACAGTCATGGTAGCATACTTTTTAATCCCAGCACTCAGGAGACATGGGGAGATAGATCTCTAGTCCAGCCTGGTCTACAGAGGGAATTCCAGTACAGCCAACACTACATAGAGATATGCTGTCTAAAGAAATTTTAAAAAGTGAATTTTGCAGGAAAATGGATAGAGCTAGAAAGCATTATTTTGAGTGAGGTAACCCAGACACAGAAAGACAGTTATCACATGTACTCACTCATAGGTGGTTTTTAAAAGAAAACCAGCCACAAACCACAATCTCAGAGAACTTAGACAACAATGAGGACTTACATAGATCTAATCTACATGGGAAGAAGGAAGTAGAAAAAGACAAAATCTCCTGAGTAAATTGGGAGCATGGGCACCTTGGGAGGGTTGAAGAGGGGAAGGAAGCAGAGAAAAATATAAAACTCAATAAAAATCAATTTTAAAAAGGGGGGAAGAAATTAAAGAAGGATCTCTGTGAGTTAAAGACCAGCAAGAGCTAGTTCTAGAACAGGCTCCAAACGCTACAGAGAAACCCTGTCTCGAAAACCAAAAAGAAATTAAAAAAGGAAAGTCTTGCTGGGCAATGGTGGCGCACGCCTTTATTCCCAGCACTCGGGAGGCAGAGGCAGGCAGATCTCTCTGAGTTCGGTGCCAGCCTGGTCTACAAGAACTAGTTCCAGGACAGGCTCCAAAGCCACAGAGAAACCCTGTCTCGAAAAACAAAAACAAAAACAAAAAAAAAAAGTTAAGTCTTGAACCAAAGCATGAAACCCCAAACTTCAGACACAGGAGAAATCCTTTGTCTTCCTGAGTTAGGCCGTGGCTTTTACATAATACCAAAACCACTATCTGTGGAAAATTGAACTGGGAAGTGATCTCCAATGAGATAGTATTGAGATAACGAGCAGCTTAAGTGTGGCTCAGTGGTAGAGCCAGGAATCTGGGGCTCAGGCCTCAGCATCTTCCCCTGAAAGAGGAATGAAAAGTCAGTTATACGGGCTGCAGACAAGGAGCAGAAGCTGTGTAGACTGATCTCTGTGGTGACAGGTTAAAGTGTAATCATTAGTATGAACTCATATGTTAATAGAAACACCGATCGACACCTACAGAGTGTTTATAGAAATATATGTGTACATAGGGGTCAGTGGACACGTATTTGCTTGCTCTGTCAGCTGAGAGGCCCTTAGAAGCAAGGATAACTCAATAGCAGCAAGTACACCGTACACCTTTTTTTGGTTTCTAAATATAATTTTCCATCACAAGAAACCATAGTCCTGGGGCTGGTGAGACAGTGGTTAAGAGCACTGGCTGTTCTTCCTTCCAGGGTCCTAAGTTCAATTCCCAGAAACCACAGAGTAAATTTAAGAAAAATAAAAGCTAATAGTTAAAAAAAATAAAGAAAATAAGCCCTAGTCCTTTTGAGAAATGACTGATATCCTGGTGTGAGGGATGTGGAAGATGTCAAAAGTCGCTGGGGTGCTGGCACGTGTCTGTAATCTCAGCACAGAGAGGGCTTGAGGCCGGTCAGCCCAAGCTCTACAGCAAGGGATCAAAATTTCAAGACCTTAGAGATGATTCAAGGGCTGCAGTTAAAGCTCAGTGTAGAACATTTGGCTGGTATTAATAAGGCTGCGGGTTCTGTCCCTAACACCCAAAATAAGTAAAAAGGAAGTAGCCACGCCTGGTAGTGTAGTCTTAGATCAGCTACTCAGGATGCCAAGGCAAGATCAAGAGTTCAAGGCCAGCTGTGCCAGTCTAAGTAAGATCTTGTCTCAAAAAGGAAAAGCGGCTAGGTGGTGGTGGCACATGCCTTTAATCCCAGCACTAGAGAAGCAGAGGTAGGCAAATTTCTGACAACTAGGCCTACACAGAAAAACTTTGTCTCAAAAACAAATTTTAAAAAGTCAAAGAGGGCTAGACCTATGACTCAGTGTTAGAGTACCCGCCTAGCATGCACTGAAGTTGTGTGTTCAATCACCAGTATTGACAATAGAGGCCCGGGGGGGGGGGGGGGGGGGGGAGGGGGGGGGGGGGGCGGGGGGGGGGGGGGGGGAGGGGGGGGGGGGGGGGGGGGGGGGGGGGGGACACGACACGTGAGCCAACCGAAAACTTCCCAGTGGCAAAGCTCAAACCAAAGTATAAAATAAATATCCTTAGCACATTTTGTCCTTGTGACTAACTTCCCAAGAACACGTGAAGACTACGGTAATTTCACAGTGCAGAAGTCTGACAGGCACGGCTCAGCCAGGTGGCTGTCCAGTCACCGCCATTCACCCGTTCTGCTGGCTTTGTAGTTAGGTGGGTCTGTGGACCAAACAGCAGCTAAGGAGCCCAGGCCCAAACTTTCTGTCAGCAGAGAAGTGTGAGCCAGCTGTATCTTCTCCCCCTGGCCGTCCTCTGCCCTCCTACCCACCGTAGACTCTCTGGTCTTGTAGCTCCAGAAAGGGCCCAGCCCCTCACTCTGACCTGTGTGGACACAGAGCTGCCTCGCCCCAGAGACACGCGGCCATCAGCTTGATAGGGACAGACCCCGGCGGTTCCAGGGACCTTGCCACCAAGCGTGGAAACCACATGCGCAGTGGTTTCTGGCGTGTGTCCTGTGGTCCTCACAGTTGTGTTTGCTCCCCAGTGACCCAGCACATAAAAGAGCTTCTGGAAAGGAACAGTAAGAAGAAGTCCAAACTGAGAAAGAAAGCCAAGCCTTATGTTGAAGAGCCAGATGGTAGGGCCTCTGCAGCCTGGGCGCTGCCTCTGCACCGCTCTGCTTCCATCATGGCCGCCTGGCCCTCTCTCTAACCGCTTCTGGGCTGGGGGAGGGACACTAACCTCAGGCTTGGGGCCTCCCAAGCAAGCAAAAACTGGAGGTCTAGGGTGCCAAAATGACCCTAGAGAAATGGTGCATGCCCTGCACCTCTTCTGGCAGTACCCAGGACAATCCACAACTTGCTTCTTGGTGGACTAACCTGTGAAGGCCTGGAGTCAGCCCCCAGGTGAGTGAGTGGGCCTGACGCTGGGGTGAGGCTCACAGGTGGAGCTGGTTGTCTTGGGGCAGGGGAGCCCACCCTAGTATAGTTAGGGGATCTTCCCTCTCCCACGGTGGCCCCAGCAAAGCCTTCTGCAGTTCAGGGTTCCTCTGCCTTCTTCCACCAGCAGCCTTCTTTGTCTTCCCCTGAGCCCTGTCTCAGGACTGTCTGCTGCGCTGAACTCCAGGCAAGGCTGTGATCTCGCTACCTAGAGCTCTCAATTCAGCACCGCCACTCCTTCACAAGGCCTCAGCTCTGGCCCTCCTGCACCAGCTTTGTATAGAGCTGCTTCCATCAGGCCGTGGTTCACAGTATTTGAATCCCCGGTCTCCTGTTCTTTGCTCTGCCTGTTGTGTGCCACCCACTGAACCCAGGGACAAGGCTGGGGAGCTTTCTGTAGATGAGGTCTGTTTCAAACAAACTGAGCCAGCAGGAAGCTTCAAAGCATGGTGGGCCTTGCAGGCTAGGCCAGGATGACATCTATAGGACTGGAAGTTTGTCCTTGCTCAGGGCCTCCCAGGCTGCCCTAGCTCAGACTGCTCATGGGGACAGTAGTAGAAAGAGACCCTGCTTGCCTAACCACCGGAGGCATGGAGCTGCATGTACACCAACTGTCTGTGAGTTGTGGCCACAAGGTAGGGGTCGAGTGTGGAACTTGAAGCAGAACTGGGCAGAGCCCTGGAGCTCAGACTGTCAGGTAGAGAATCCGGGAGCATTCATTCCCAGGACCATGCAGAGTAAGCAGCAGCAGACACAACAAACCTCGGGTACACCCAGCTGTTTTTGAGGCTTACAGCCTGCCCAGATTCCTGCTACAATAGTAAAAACTCTGGAATGCCGCTCATCTAGGGCTATGGTGAGCCATCCATCACACAGAACTGTTCCCTGCATCCTGGTGGGGTTCTGGCCAAGGTCCAACAAGGCTAGATTGACCTCCTCTTGCAAGTGAAGGTCTGTGGAGTGGCAATGGCACTGTGTGATCCACTCTAGACACTTAGCAGGAGCTGAAATCACTGCAGCTCCCTAGACTCCAGGCCACATGTGGCCCCAGCCTCAGGCCTAGGCTAGCAGCCACCGCAGCAGCAGCTGTCTGCTTTCCGCTGGCTACTAGGCTTCCAGCACAGCCATTCTCAGGCCTCCGCGAGACAGGCGTTATCTCCGTCTCTGTCCTACAGAAAAACTGAAGCACAGTTTTTCCTACCTACTGCCAGCTGAGAGGTGATTGGAGTAGGGTTTGCTCTGGTCCTGAGTGAGCATCAGATGAAGCAGCACTGGGTGGGCAGAACAGGAGGCAACAGGCTGAAGTCCGTCCGTTCCATTGCTCTCAGACCCCATCTGCTGAGCTGAGCCAGGGCAGTGAAAAGCACTTAAGCGCTCTCCATCCTTATAAAATAAGGCAGCCTCATGGCAATCATGAAGGGCAGATGGCCTGAGGGAGAAGCTCTAGTGCTCTCTAGGTGGCTGAGGACAAAAACCACGGTGGTCTGCCGGAGTCTGTGGATCACTTGGGACCTGGGGCAGATTGTCCAAAACTTAAATGTCGGAGAGCTTTATATTATTTTGGTTAGAAAAGAACCATTTTACATATGTGAATAAAACTTGTGATAAAGGTTCTCATGGGCCATAATATACTTGTGTAATGAGTATACTTATATAATTATATATAATAACTATATGTATATATCTCATATATGTGTGTGTTCTATATGACACACACATGTATATAAAGTTGGGGATCTAAGGACCTCTCCAAGGCCTCAGATGTCCATAAGGAACTGTCTCCTTTCAAAGGCAAAGGTACTCCCAATCACAGACTTCACAGCTGCGGGTAGTAGAGGCAGAACCTTCCAGGGAAGGGTTGTCCATTTTCCAGAAGCACACAGCTAGTGTCTGTCCATGACACTTCTTGGCATGTTCTTTCATCTGCCACCATCCTTATTTGCTGGGACAGGTTGGAGACACTTGACACCTACCAACACTCCAGTGTCCATGCCTAGCTCTGCTGCAAGGCATGAATTCCAGAAAGCTCCCTACCTTGAGAGAGGAGGCCAGGCCTTCAGCCCTGTCATTATCTTACCCGCTGGTTAAATAGAGCGCTGGCACAGAGCACTGGCATCTTCTGCAAGCTGTCTTTCACTAAGAGCCAAACTTTGGCCACTCTCTCTCTCTCCCTGACACTCTGCTCCTAACTTCACTCCCTCCCTAAGGACGCCAGAGCTGCTGGAGAACTGCCTTTGCCCCAGTGCTGACCAAAGGCACCAAATGCTTCATCCAGAAGCCTCTTCCTCTGGGACCAGGGAAAACCAAAGGTCTTGCTAGGGTCACCTAAGGAGGAAAGGAAGTGGCGTTTGAAAGCCTGGGACCCAGGCTGTGCTCTTTGTTCCCCTGTTCTTCCTAGGTGGATATAGGAAGGCTGGCAGAGGGATTTCTCCTACCCTAGCTTCTAGAGATGGGGGGTGTGGTGTCTCTTGCCTCTCCTCTTGGGTCTCTGCTCTAAAGGACTGCCTATGAGAGAATATGGGCTACTATGTAGCTCAGGGGTGGATGAGAAGCTGGCCACATCCCAAAACCCTTATAGTTGCTTTTCTGAATCCCTGTGTCCCATGTGTCCACCCCAGGCTGACTGCCACCCTTTCTCTTCCAGGGGTGGCAATAAGCACCTATGCGAAGTACTGTTACCACAAACTTCAGAAGGCAGCCCTGACTGGGGCCAAGAAGGTACAAATACTTTCTGGGAGAAGTAGGGTAGGGTAAATGGCTCTCCTGCAGTCCACACACAGACCTGATGGAAGGGCAGTGAGACTCAATGGAGCACTGGCAAGCTGCAGAGAGCCCCAGCCTGGATAGGAAGGCTTGCACCTGTGCTTCCACAGTCTCTTGCCCTTCAAGGGCCCCTGACCATCCCTGGGCCTCCAATGCAAATGGGTACACATACTAGACAAGGCATCAGGTAGCCTTCCCAAGTAAGGTGCTCTACCCACCTGGCCATACCCAGCCTCCTAGAGCCTGGGGATAGCATCCTGGCTGCATTGTCCCTAAGAACTCCAACTGGCATGGTGAAATGCAGCAGGCAGGCATTGCCATATGCAAGCCTGTGCAGGAGACCCTCACCCCTCCACCTTTCTGCATATCTGTAGTTTGGAGTGTTGCAGATGGCCTGATGGGAGGAGATGCCTTTAGTGACTTGGGTTAGGGTCTGGGTTGTCCCTGATTCTTGTTGGGCCAGGACCCAGAGTGATGGAGAAGAGATGAAAGAAGGAGGGTGAACTACAACAGGACTTGAATGCTGAGCTGTTTTCACAGGGCCTGAAGAAGCCTAATGTGGAGGAAATCCGACATGCCAAGAACGCAGTGTTCAGCCCATCCATGTTTGGCAGTGCACTGCAGGAGGTGATGAGCATGCAGAAAGAGCGCTATCCTGACAGGCAGCTGCCCTGGGTACAGACGCGGCTCTCCGAGGAGGTGCTGGCACTCAACGGTGACCAGACGGAGGGCATCTTCAGGTGCCTTACCAACCCCAGATTGTGGGCGGGGAAAGGGAGCAAGGTGTGTGTTCACTATATATCTCTAATATCAGGGACCATAAAGCCTAGAGGCCATTTAGCCAAAAGGGACAAAACAGTGTCCCATCCAGAGGAGGCAAGTTGACTTTTACCCCCCAAATGGCAGCATGGCCAACCAGAGACAGCCAACAGAGGTCCAGAGGATACCAGCAAGGACATCACCTATGACAAGAGCCTTAGAGATGGCATGCACCTGGCCAGACAGCTCAGCATCACCAGTGCATCATCCTGTGTGAACAGGGATGTGCGAGACCGTGCAGTATCAACCATTGTAACGACTTGCCTGTCAGGATCAGGGATGCCCAAGTCCCCAAAGGATAAGTAGGAAGCCAAGGGCTGCAAATTTGGGCTTTCGTGGCCTGCAGAGGGCGATAGCTACACAGAGAAGTCAGCAGAGTCCATGAAGGGAGAATGACCCCAGGAGAATCCCACACCACTGACCCAAATGCATGGAGCAGGATGCCCCCAAAAGAGCAACAAGGTCCTAAGTCACCCCACCCTACATGAGAGAATCAGGTTGGTGGGACCTTGAAGCTTTCTGCTACTCAAAACTCCAGCACTAGGGTGAGATGATTTCCTCTAGTCTGAGTCTTGGCTATACTCTCTAGGGTCCCTGGTGACATTGATGAGGTGAATGCCCTGAAGTTGCAGGTGGATCAGTGGAAGGTACCTACAGGCCTGGAGGACCCCCACGTCCCTGGTGAGCCCCAGACATACTTAACAGCTGGGCAGGTGTTGGCCTGCATGCATATCCCAGAAAGTAGATCACCATTCAGGCCAGGATCCCTGTCCAGTCATCCACCCCAGGATCACCCTATGGCCCTGTCCCTCTGTCCTTCTGTGGCTACATCCCACCATCCTCTTTCACCCCCTGGAAACTATTTCTTAATGAAGTGATGTCTCTCCATCACTTCTAGACAATCCTCCCACCCACTGGACCTACCAGTGTTCTTGGCCTACCCAGTGTTCTGCCCCTGCAGAGCAGCCCAGCCCACAGCTCCTGGGGCATTTTTAGACAGCTCCTTCTGAGCACAACCCTTCTGAGAAATTCTGTTTTGTAGTCATTGTGGACACACACCTATACCACCAAAATTGATCCCAGGTTCTCAATCAGCTAGTGTCTCTGGGATCTGGGCTCAGTCTCAACAGCCTCCTCCATACCCTCGCACATAGTACGCACACCCTATGTCTCTGGATGTGGTCTCTGGTGGATGCTTGGCTTAGGGGCCCCCAGACCAACACCATCTAAGTCATTCCCACCCTCAGCGTCGCTGCTGAAGTTGTGGTATCGGGAGCTGGAGGAGCCCTTGATTCCTCACGAATTCTACGAACAATGCATTGCGCACTACGAGAGCCCGGAGGCTGCAGTGGCCGTGGTGCACGCGCTACCGCGCATCAACCGTATGGTGCTGTGCTACCTCATTCGCTTCCTCCAGGTACGCTTGCTCTGCACCTATTGCCACGCCAATGCCCACCTTTCACCCTACCCAATCCACCTTCCCCACCAACCCCTTAATAGCCACGCCCACCCTCCACTTCGCTCTCCTCTCCCTACTCCGCTCCCCCCACTTAGGTGTTCGTGCAGCCAGCCAACGTAGCCATCACCAAAATGGACGTCAGCAACCTGGCCATGGTGATGGCACCCAACTGCCTGCGCTGTCAGTCGGATGACCCACGCGTCATCTTCGAGAACACGCGAAAAGAGATGTCCTTTCTGAGAGTGCTCATTCAGCATCTAGATACCAGCTTCATGGAAGGCGTGCTATAGCACGCGGGCTACGGACACCGGCCAGGGTGATACCCAGGGAGGTGGGAGGGAAGGCCCCAGCGGCGAGGCAGCATGCCAAGCCCCGCCAGACGCCCGCCCTGACCCGCCCCCAGACCCTCCTGGGCAAAGCAGCCCGCCATATCTCGCGGCCAGTTCCTGCGGGCTCCGGAGCCGACCGCAGGCCAGCCCCGAGAAGTGCCTTCTGTTTGCCGGAGCCGAGCGACACTGCCCTCCTGGTCGGCCGAAGCACACGCCGCGTTGCTCAGGGCAACACGACCTCGTCCCCTCTCCAGGGCAGTATGCCACCAAGGCTCTTGCCCTGATCCCTCCTACCCTAGTCTAGGGGCCTCTAGCTGGGGCCTGAAGGAGACTTAGAGGCACTCTAGAGAGCTGTGCTAGCCACCGCTAGGACACGGTCCTGTCGTCCCAATGCCTTTGGTCCTGATGGCCCAAGGTCTTTGTGCAAGGGGAGACCCCACACCAAAGCCCGTCGGGTGGGGCCAGGGCTAGGTAGGCGTTCTTGGGGCGGGTGGGGGAGGGCGAGAGGTTTTTGTTTGTTTTGGAGGGTTGTTTTTGGTGTGAGTCCAGAATCTAACCCGCACCCAGCCTACTTGTGTATAAAGATATAAATAGAATGACAGATGTCAGAACTAAGTTTGCTAAGGACATAGTTTTAACCAGATGCTATTTATCTCTTGAACTGCCATTGCCGTCCTCGCGCTGAACAAGTTAGCACCACCTTTTGACCTCGCGGCCTCTGACCAAACTACACCCGGGCGGCGTGCGGATGGGACCTGGACTCATTCGCGTTTTCCATTCTGGAATCTGACTTCCAACAGTTGTCAAACTTCATTTCTCCCGTTTCTATATATATATATATATTTTTAGAGTTGTTTTTATTTATTAAAAACAAAAGTCCCGCCCTGCCGAGGCCCGCAGCCCTCTGGGGCGGGTCCTGGACCTCTCCAGGCGCTCTCTCCGACGTGTGGACAGAGGCGACAGCGCTCCGTGTGAATAAAATTCAAATGCACACTACAGTTGCCTGAGCCTGGGGTTACTTCGGTTGCCGTGAAGGGTGGGGGGCGGGGTCCACGTAGCACGCCTCCTTCCGGGCGCCCCGCCCCACCGAGCGCGTGCTGCCGGCGGAACCCAAAGCATCCGGCGCAGCGCCGACTGTGTGACCTGTTTCCGGTGTGGAAGGATGTGGCCGCCTTGCAGGTCACTGCGTAACTTGGCTCTAGCCTTGGCGAGATCTCAGGGAGCTCGGGCCTGCAGTGGGGACGAACGTGTCTCCTACACACAGGGCCAAAGCCCGGAGCCCAGAACCCGCGAGTATTTCTACTACGTGGATCACCAGGGCCAGGTGTGGCTGGCGCGTGCCAGGGAGGAGTCTGAGGGAGCTGCCTCGGGCGGGGAAGAGTTCTAGGGCCGGGTGCTACGTGTGGTGTTGGACCTGACTTTCAGAGCCCAGAGGCTGCCCCTCCACGGCTTCGCCATCCCGCCCCACCCCCAGCCTGCAAGCACCAATCCCAGAGCTGAAGGCTCGCGACTGCCGGAGCCCAGCGGCCCGCAAGCCTGCTTTAGAAAGGGGGGCGAGGGGGCCGCCGCGCGGGAAACCTGTATGTAGGCGTGGGCGAAGTCTGCGGGGCCTGACACATGCCCCCTCGAACACCGTATACAGAAAAGCAAGAACAGCGACACAACACTGGGCTTGGGGCTTTCTGTTCAGGATTTACTGTCCACTGTCTGTCCCTTCTGTCCGCAGCTTTTCCTGGATGACTCCAAAATGAAGAACTTTATCACCTGCTTCAAAGGTATTGCTTGCTGCGCAGCTCCCTCAAGCCTCTCTCCCTCCGCCCTGCCAGGTCTCCAGCTCCCCCACTCCGCGGGCAGCCCCAAGGCGGCCGGCAGTCAGTCTCCCGCCAGTACTGGTGTGCCCCAGGGAGAGGAGCCTGTCTGGGGAGCTAGGTCACCAGCGAGAACAGTTGCGCCTTTTTCTTCCCACAGACCTGCAGTTCCTGGTCACTTTCTTCTCCCGGCTGAGACCTAACCACAGCGGGCGCTATGAGGCTTCCTTTCCCTTCCTCTCTCTCTGCGGCAGAGAGCGTAACTTCCTGCGCTGTGAAGACCGGCCCGTGGTCTTCACGCACCTGCTGGCCCCCGAAAGCGAGTCCCCTCGCCTCTCCTACTGCGGCGGCGGCGAGGCCCTGGCCATCCCCTTTGAGCCGGCTCGCTTGCTACCTCTGGCGGCCAACGGGCGCCTGTACCACCCGGCACCGGAGCGCGCAGGCGGCGTGGGCCTAGTGCGCTCGGCCCTGGCCTTCGAGCTCAGCGCTTGCTTCGAGTACGGACCTGAATCACCCACGGTCCCCTCTCACGTGCACTGGCAGGGTCGCCGCTTCGCCCTATCTATGGATCTGGCCCCGCTGTTGCTCGCTGCCCCGCCGCCCTGAGCCTCCAGTTGGGGCTGGGTGGGGGAGGGTTAGGGCAAACACTGGGCTTCGTAGTACTCGCAGGTTACCCCTCGGTCCCAGACTTCCAGGTCGACCCAAATGTCTCCAGTCACCTGCACGCCAGTGACTGAGTGCGCGTGCGCGCAGAGGTGCGCCTTGGGCCTCGGTAGGTTGGCGCTGTCCAAGGTTCTCGTGCGGCCCCGCTATTCTCGGTCTCTACAGCGGTCCCCTCTCCGCCACCTCTAACCCTTACAACCGGTCTTGCATCCCACGGATTGGCCTGCTCTGGTCACGTCAGGCTGGGCGGCAGGCGCTAGGCGCGCGTGGGCCGGTGCGCGTGCGCGCCCACCCCCACCCCCCCGCCGCTTCTCCAGTCTAGCAGCCGCAAGCACCGCGGGGAGTCGCTCGCCACTGGAGCAGGTGAGGGGAGGGGGGGGTCCTGGCCCAAGGTCACCAGGCTTGGGGGCGGGATCGGGACCCTTTAGGTTCTAACTGCTGCACCAAGGAAAGGTCAGGCTCTCTGGCTGCGGGGAGAGGGATGGAAACCACGCCCTCTGTGAGCAGGCTCAGACCCGCTGGAGCGGGGGGGGGGGGGGGGGGGGGGGGGGGGGGGGGAGGGGGTTAGGGTTAGGGTTAGGTGTAGGGTTAGGATTAGGGGGGGGGGGGGGGGGGGGGGGGGGGGGGGGGGTAGGTTAGGGGAGGTAGTGCTGGTTTAAAGCGCCTGATCTCAAGGGCTGTCAGAGACCTCAGCTGGGGCTTCGCGCTGCGCCCGAGGGAGGATCCAGGGCTCCTCTCCACCCACCCTCTTCCCGCCTAGATGATCCCTCAGGAGACTGACGCCCCACTCCTCCTGCCTAGGAGTAGGGGTTCGTGTCCTGATAAAAGGATTTCTGGCGTATCTAGTAAGGGGCCCCCATTCCTGTCGTGGCTGTCTTGCACTGATGCTCATCTGGGCGACCGCATGAGCAGCAGCTCTGATCCCCAGTGCACAGATCAAGGCTTTGCTACTGAAGGCTGAACAGATGCGCAAGGCCTGGAGCCAGGGACCAACCAGTTATTCATGCTCCAGGAAATTAAACCCAGAAGCCTTGCAGATGTCCCAGCTTCTTGGGGCTCCGCGTGTCCTGAGATATCTAGGAACTGCCTTTGCCTGCGCCAAAGCTATTCCATTAAAACTACTGCTCTGCTGCCTCATCTCTATTGACTTTAAATGACCAAGTGACTTACAATTGGTGCGAAATTGAAACAAACACCGCGGCCACTTAGTACAGCTCAACTTGACGCAGAGAATAAGCAGGTGCGAAAACGGTAGACTGTGCCAGATGAGGAAGACAGTGCGCCCTTGCTCCTGTCCTCCTTAACTTTAGAAAAGCAGGCTTCTCTGCCTTGGCACTACCGTTAAAACTGAGCATTGCGCCTAGAACCCTACCCTAGTTCTTGTGCACCTAGGTCACAGATACATTTTGTAAACTGCTGTAGAATGCCCTTCCCGATAGTTTCAGAGGTCACTGCTCCTGTATTCTACTTAGGGAGTTAGATACCCAGTTGGTACAATAGGAGTGTAACTCACTAGGATGTTGTGTGCTAAGTCTGTGCTTAGTGTGCAGGATATACCAAGGCCAATTCCCAGAGGGAAGGGGGGGGAGCAGTTTGTGGCCTAAGGCTTCCTCCCACATCCCAACTAGTACACACAAATACTCCAAAGATAGAGCCCCCCTGGAACCAGCTTGGGGGCGGGGCATAGGCTCTAGGCCTCTGAACTGATTATCCTGATTGGCTTATCCCTCAATTCTCTAGAGAATTACCTGAGGAAGCTAGAGGTTATAGTGCACACCTGTTCCTTTGCCTTTTAGGAGCATGAGCAATAGTATCTCAAGTTCAAGTATAACATGGGCTATATAGCAAGACTCTGACTCAAAAAAAAAAAATTAGAAGTAGTGCCGGGCGGTGGTGGCGCACGCCTTTGATCCCAGCACCCTGGAGGCAGAGGCAGGCGGATCTCTGTGAGTTCAGTGCCAGTCTGGGCCACAGAGCAAGTTCCAGGACAGTCAGTCCTGTTACACAGAGAAACCCTGACTCCGGGGGGGGGGGGGGGGAGTTAAAAGTAGCAGCCAGGTGTGGTGGGTCAGCTCTTTAATCCCAGTACTAGAGAGGCAGAGGCAGGTGGATCTCTATGAGTTCAAGGCCAGCCTGGTTTACTTAGAGTTCCAAGACAGGGCCATAAAGAGAAAGACCCTGTGTCTGGGGGGGGGGGGGGGCTAAGAGCACTGGCTGCTCTTCCAGAAGACCCAGATTTGATTCCTAGCACATGCTCAGAACCATCCCAACTCCAGTTCCAGGGGATCTTGAGGGCACCAAGCACGTATGAGGTGCACACACATTCTTGCAGGTAAAACACTCATACGTGTAAAATAAGTAAATTTAAATGAAAAAAATTTTTTGAAAAAGAAAAAAATAGAAGTAAGCTGGGCATAGTGACACAGGCTTTTAATGTCATCACTCTGGGTTTGGAGGCCATTGTGGTCCACATAATGAATTCCAGGCCAACCAGAGAAACACACTAGACCCTATTTATTTTAAAGGAAATAAGCCGTATGAGTTACCTGAGGGAAAATCCTAACTCTTAAGTAAGCTCTCCACTCACCTCCATCCCTACAACAGGAGGATCACGGGCTGCACCAAGCATCACCAATCATGACAAATGAACCTTAAGTTGGGGTCATTTGGGTCAAGGTCGTGTGGTACCTTTGCTCTTCTGATGGGGCACAGAGGTTTCTGCTCAGTGCTGAACTTTATGCCAGCAGCCACTGAGTGAGACCAAGAGGGCACGTCTGCCCAGAGCCTGTTCTTTTTAGTTAGACCCTGGACTTGGGAACTCGGGCAGTTCCCAAGCCTGAATTATGTACTGTTGCATCCGGGAACCAAGGAGATGAACCCGTGTGGTGCCAGTGACGAGCAGGATGGTGCAGGCGCAGGAGGAATGCTGGTGCTAGGCAGAGACCGCCAAGGAAGGATTCTCGGTTTGTTCTGTTTTCCTTTTTAAAAACATTGTTTGCATGCGTGGGTCAGAAATGGAGGTCAAAAGCGATCTTTGTAGAGTCAATTCTCGTCTTCCACCAGGTTTGCCAGGCAAGTGCCTTCACTTGTGTAGCCATCTTGCCTGCCCCTCATACAAATTTTACCAAGAGAAGAAGTTAGGCTTTAAAAAAAACAAAACAAAACAAAACAAAAAAAACAAAAAACAAATCTCACTCTGGAGCCTTGATCCACTGGCCTCAACTCAGAGAGATTGCCTTCCCCTGCCTCCTGAGTGCTGTTTGTAACTTTTCAAAAGTTACACGAGGATTGTATGTAGACTTCCATCCACGTTAATTGGTTGTTTCTTACTTTTATGTTTTGAGACAAAGTCTCACCGCAGTTCAGCCAGACCTGCCTGGAACATATTGCTTAGACCTAACCTTGAATTCACAGCAATCCTGCTGCTTCAGCCTCCCCAATGTTGCCATTAAGAGCATGACCCACCATGCCTGGCGTTCCATTCCTGCTCCTGCGCAGGCTGGATAATGTTAGCACTAGCCTGCTAACCTGTTTCAGGAGGCGCATCCCATCAGGGTCCAGGCCTTGGGGAAGCCACAGCTTCCTGGTGGGGCTCCTCGGAAATGACCCCAGGGGCTCCCCCGGTGCTGCTTCTGCTGGGACTGCTGTTGCTGCCGCTGCTACCTGGATTCCCGCCCCGAGCCACTGGCTGTCCCGCTGCCTGCCGTTGCTACAGCGCCACTGTGGAGTGCGGCGCCCTACGGTTGCGTGTTGTCCCACCGGGAATCCCCCCAGGGACGCAGGTGGGCACTATGTGGGACTGGAGGGTCTTGGATTGGAGTAGTGGGTTACAAGTGCCCACCGCAATGGAAAAGATTGTGTGAGCTTCAGAGGTGAGGTGGAAGGTCACTAGGGTGCTGAGGTAGGCAAGTGGGATGGGACACGCCACGGGAGTGGGACATGCCCCACAGTGAAGTAATCCTCTCGTCCCCACAACCTTCAGACGCTGTTTCTGCAAGACAACAGCATCGCGCACCTGGAGCAAGGCGCCCTGGCGCCTCTCGCTGCCCTGCGACACCTCTACCTGCACAACAATACTCTGCGGGCGCTGGAGTCGGGTGCCTTCCGTGCACAGCCGCGCCTGCTTGAACTGGCGCTCACCGGCAACCGGCTTCGGGGATTGCGAGGCGGTGCATTTGTGGGCTTGGTCCAGCTGCGCGTGCTTTACCTGGCTGGAAACCAGCTGGCGAAGCTGCTGGATTTCACCTTCTTGCACCTGCCGGTGAGCGACAACTGCCCTAAGTGCGGGATCTTGCTGCGATGTCAATAAACGCACTTTTGGTGGGAGTGGTTGGGGGAGAGATCAATATTGTCGAGCTTCCTAGGGCCCTTTTGCCTGACGATCTGCTGTCCCTACTTCAGCGACTGCAGGAGCTGCATCTTCAAGAAAACAGCATTGAGTTACTGGAGGACCAGGCCCTGGCTGGGCTTTCCTCCTTGGCCCTGCTGGACCTCAGCAGGAACCAACTGGGCACCATCAGCAGAGAGGCCCTGCAGCCTCTGAGCAGCCTACAAGTCCTGCGCCTCACAGGTAACACTCTTGCTTTGGCAAGGGTCTCTTCAAGCACCAGTAGGGAGAAGCAGGCTCAGGTATACAGGAGGTTCCTATGCTAGGAACAGAGAACACTCCACACTGCGGCCACACCAGCCCAGGGAGTTCTCAGGCAGAACCAGGTTCTTAACTTCACTGCAGAAAAGAATTCAGAATAAGGCAAGATGTGACTGAGTTGGAGTTTATTAAAGCGGACGTTAACATCTGGTTTTGATGGCTTCGGAAATTACATCTCAAAGGATGGTTAAAGAGCCTAAGTGAGTTGGGTATGGTGGTGCTAGCCTTTAGTCCCAGCACTCGGGAGACAGAGGCCAGAGGATCTCTGAGTTCAAGGCTACCCTGGTATACAAATCGAGTTCCAGGACAGGCAGGGCTTCACAGAGAAACCCTGTCTGGAAAACAAACAATCAAAACTTAAGTGAGATCACAGGGTGGTTCCTCTGCACTGGATGGGTTACAGTTGATAGCGCAAACCCCTAGGAAGCAAGGGTTGCCAGGGAAGATGGCCTTACTGTACACAAAGGTTAGTCCTGTGATTCCCCCAGAAATTACCTACAAAAGGAGTAAGGTCATTCCTGAAGATCATATTTATATATGCTTGGGCCTTAAGTATGGCTTGCTGCCATTTTAACATTCTCCTATATTTAAAAGGAATATTGTTATGTTGGTAATCTTCGACTCAAGGTTAATCATGCTGTAATCTCACCTGGTGAGCTCAGCCATCCTAGGGAGACTTGCCTCCCTTCCCGGGCCCCTGTAATCCTCCCTTTGTGTCTCGCTTCACTATGGCAACCCTGAGCACGCCTCTGCAGGGTCACACCAGAGCCCTCAGCCTTTGTAAGGGACCACCGGGGAGAGCTGGTAGAGTAACCAGCTCATGCACCCGGGTAAGGAGGACAAGTACCAGTTCCACAGAGTAAGTTAACAGAGCTGAGCAGCTTCTCATCAGAGCTGGCAGGCAGAAACTGGAGTGCCTTGACAACAGGGTCTCAGTGATGCTGGAATATGCAAGGACGTGGACACTTGCAATGGGACATCAGAGAAGCGGATGCTCTTTCAGGAACTGGGGTCACACACACACACACACACACACACACACACACACACACACACCGGGAACTTGGACTGAGGGAAGATGGTAAGGGTCTGGGACTCCATAGGTATCTGTAAGAGGGGAAAAGGGCTTCTGTCTGCACAGCAGAACCATCTCTCTACCTAGGCTGTGTTCTGCCTACACAGAAAACCCGTGGCGATGTGACTGTGCCCTTCACTGGCTGGGCTCTTGGATCAAAGAGGGGGGCCGCCGGCTGCTGAGCTCCAGAGACAAGAAGATCACATGTGCAGAGCCCCCACGCCTGGCGCTTCAGAGTCTACTAGAAGTATCTGGTGGCAGCCTCATCTGCATTCCTCCTTCTGTGAACGTGGAGCCCCCGGAGCTCACAGCTAACCTGGGGGAGGACCTGCAGGTAGCCTGCCAGGCATCGGGATACCCACAGCCCCTGGTGGTCTGGAGAAAGGTGCCCCAGCCTCGCGATGGCAAACCTCAAGCCCAAGCCCAGCTGGAAGGTGGGACATCAGGCTTGGGTGGGCATGCGACCCGTGACACCGGCAGCGGCATGCTCTTCCTCACCAACATCACACTGGCTCACGCGGGCAAGTACGAATGCGAGGCCGCCAATGCTGGCGGCAAAGCGCATGTGCACTTCCATCTCCTGGTTAACGCGTCCCGGCAGCAGTTACAGCAGCCACCCGCCCCGCAGGGCCCGGCTACACGCCCTGTGGGACACGAGCCCCCGCACGAGGCGGGCAGCATGGCCTTCCGCGCCCTGGGCATAGCAACGCAGACAGCGATCGCGGCTGCCATCGCGCTGCTGGCGCTCACTGCGCTCTTGTTGGCTGCCATGATCTGCCGACGCCGACGCCGGCGGAAAAAGGTGCCTGCGCCGGGGGAAGGCACACTGTTCGTCAACGACTATTCAGACGGGCCTTGCACCTTTGCGCAGCTCGAAGAACTCCGAGATGAACGCGGGCACGAGATGTTCGTCATCGACCGTTCCAAGCCCCTGTTCGCTGAGGTACCGCCTGAGGAGGCGCCGGAACAAAACCCTCCCGAAGGGCTCATGTCTGGGCTACGCCTCCCTCCACGTGTCGCTTATGAGATCCATTGCTAAGTCCGCCGCGCGTGTCAATGACGTGGGCACCGGGGATTGGCCGGTGCAGCCCCGCACCTGTCCATTAGTAAAGTTGAAGCCGCGCAACAGCCCTGTGTGTTGGAGCCTTCAGGTCGGGGGTCGAGCTACAGCACGGTGTTGGGGTCGTCGGGTCGGGAATCATGGGTCTGTGAATGTCAGGGCCATGGATAAGGTGTCCCCAGCTGCCAGCTCTGGCGGCTCACCCTGGCTCTGGACCGTAGGAATAGTGGGATAACCTAGTGAGGAAATGGGGCAATTGCTTGGATAATAGTTTGCACCTTGTGATGAGGCAACACCAGAAACACAGGGAAGTCTCTCCCATCCAATTAAGACAGACACACACACACACCAAAAACCCAAAACAAACAAAAAAAATGAATTCAAGTTCCAGATACTGCACTTTGTACCTTGCTCACACCCTACAGACCAGGTAATAGGTGCCTCAGATGCCAGGCAGGATGTGCAGCGTAAGGCCCCGACTGCATGGGTACTCCCAAGACTACTACCTGAAGTCGACCATCTTAACCTCCACCCCAGTGCGCTGCACTCCTATGGGCACGGGGTGTGCCCAGGGACTGCTGTTTTCTGCAGATCTGAGTAGGGGAGTGCCGTCCTGAGACAGCAACAGTCAGCCAGCTACTGGGAGCAGATACAAAGCACGGAGACTGGAGGTACAGCCAGTGGCCTAGGAAAGCCTCTGAGTCAGGCCTCCAGCGGAGTCTCACAGGGCTTGACCTGCCCCTCAAGACCCTAGCGATCACAGGCGGAAATAGTCTGCAGCCAGGCGCCCGTAGATGTCAGTGGTCCAGAGTACATGGGCACGGCCTGAAGCTAACAGCAGCTGGTGCAACTCAGCTTCTACACGGGCAAACTTCTCCTCATTGATGGAGGCTTCCAGAAGGACAGAGACGGGTGGTGGCCAAGGAAGGCCTTCATAGCAATCCACAGGGAAGGGGTGCACCACAGTGCGCAGCTCGGCCTGTACTACAGAGTCACGGAGCAGCTCTTTAAGTCCGGCCATAGACAAAGGGTTGCCATAGAGACCAAGGTAGCGCAGACTGGCACATCGAGTCAGGGTGGGCAGTGTGGCCAACAGCTGGGCATCAGCAAGCTGACACTCAGTCAGCTCGAGATGCAGCAATGTGGCTGCGGCGGCCTGCAGCAGACCCTGGAAGGGGATCAACTGGTTGCCCGACAAGTCGTTGCCACTGAGATCCAGCTTCTTGAGGTGGGCAGCATGAGGGCTCTGAGCCAAGAAGCGCAGGTCCTCAGGCAGCAGTGCGCAGAAGGCCAGCTCTAGGCTCTCCAGGGGGCTCTGCAGGGTGCTGCAGGGACAAGGGGTTACAGAAGGGTCATGGGCGGGTAGGCCAAGAAGTCCTCATACAGAGAGGAGACAGAGCCATGGTGGGGACCACTCACCTGAGCAGCTGTTCCAGCCGGCCTGAAAGGAGAGAGGAGCCCATGCTGAGCTCCCGAAGGCAGATAAAGCGGCCCATCTGCGTCAGAAAGTAGCGAAAGTTGTCCTCACCATCCACAGAAGGCTGCCTCGAGTCCCCATGCACGTAGTGCAGCCTCAGGCTGGCTAGGTGCTGAAAGCGGGCCACGTGTGGGATAATGACAGACAGGCCTCGCAAGCCCAAGTTATTGAAGCGCAGGTCTATCCGGCGCAGACAGCCCGCATCTAGAAGCTGCAGCAGGGCTACAGTGTTGCGCATGGGCAGATCCTCAGCCCGGAGGTCCCGGCAGCAGAGCCGCAGGGGGCTGTCCACACTACTTTGGAGTGCCTCACGAAGGAAAGTGTAGGAAGCCCGGTTCACCCGAAGGTCTACACGAACTTCCACGGGGACCGGTGACAGCCCTGGCTCAGCAGTCCCACCCTGATGCTGGGCAATGCACGTTCTGGCGACAGCGGCTGTGCAGTCCCACGTGCTCATAGTTCCAGGATCCTGCTCCACGCCATCATCCAGAAGACCAGTCATATCCAGTACCCGCAATGCATGTTTCCTGGGAACAGGGATGGCCCGAGGCAGGGAATGAGGGGGCAAGGCCTACTTTCCTCCCAGCCGCCTGTACCAAAGAAACAAATATGGCTATTCCCACCCTGCGCTCCTTCTCACCTCAGGACCACCCTGGCGCCAACCCAGTGAATCTTCTCTGTACTCCTAGCCCGTGGGCCCCTCAGACAAATGCGTACCTGCAAAGGGGCTGCGTGCCAGCCTCCTTTCCTGGAGTGTGAAGCCGGGCGGTCAACCCCAAGATCACAGCCTGCATGCTTTCTGTGCTGAGCCGCTCCTGCAGCAGGGTGCGGCTGCAGTGGGCACACTCCTGCAACAGGGTGCGGCTGCAGTGGGCACACTCCTGCAGCAGCTGCTGGAAGCTCAGCAGTGGGAAGGGCCATGTGTGCACCAGCTCCCGTAGCACAACTGTCTTCTTGTCCATGAAGGCCACCTTGAATAGCAGGGGGAAGAGCTCCCGGGGCAGCAGGGGCAGGGCTTGGCAGGCAGCTGGCTGGCGCTGAAGCACCTGCCGTGTGCTGAGGAACACAAGTGTGTGCATGGCGCTGGGATGGACAGACAGCCACCTGCAGGAGAGGTACCTTAATTAGGGAAGAGAAACCCCGGGCAAATCAAATCAGGCCACACCCTCTCCAAATTGTCCGTGGTACAAAAGCCCATTGCGCTATCTGACATGGAGTTGGCACTTCGTGGAAGGAGGTGCAAGAAGGAATGCTTCTTTGTCTGGCTTGAGACAGGGTCTCACTTCGTAGCCTAGGGTTGACTTGGACTTGTGGCAATCCTCCTGCCTCTTCTGGGATTACAAGCATGTGCCATCCTACCTGGCAGGGGTAATTTCTCGTAAGTTCCCAGGGGAAACCGAGCCATCAAGCGGAACATAAGCAGTGGTACACTGTCACTAACCTGCTCGTTCACGTGTGGCCTTCTGGAAACAGCTGCTGCTCTGCGGGGCCCAGCATCGACACTTTAGGTCTCTCAAGTCACAAATGTGACTCAGGAATCCTTCCTCAAAAGTGAAATAAGGGCACTGGAGGGATGGCTCAGTTGTTAAGAGCACTGGCTGCTCTTCCAGGGTTCAATTCCCAGCACTCACGTGGCAGCTCACAACTGTCTGTAATTCCAGTTCCTGGGGACCCAAGCCCCTCACACAGATATACATGCAAACAAACACCAAGGCACATTAAAAAAGGTGGGAGGTAGTGGTGCACCCCGTTAATCCCAGCATTTGGGAGGCAGAGACGGATGGATCTCTGTGAGTTCAAGGCCAGCCGGGTCTACAGAGTGAGTTCTAGGACAGGCTCCAAAGCTACAGAGAAACCCTGCTTTGAAAAACCACAATAAATAAATAAATAAACATTTATTAGGCATGGAGTTAGTTGTACACCTTCAATTTCAGCACCAAGGGAAGCAAGAGGCCTGCGGATCTTGGTGAGTTCAAGGTCCACCTAATCTATTTATCCATACACAATAGCACCCTATCTTCAAAAATAAAAGGAAGGGAGGGACTGGGGGATAACTTCGTATGATGCTTGCCAAACAAAAGTGAGGACCAAACTTCAGATCCCAGAACCTGTGTAAAAACAGCCAGAATTGGAGTCAGCAGAAAACAGGACGATCCCTGGAGACCACTGGCTGGCTGGCCCAATGCTTGAGTTTTAACAGGTTTGGGTGTTTGTTCGTTTATTTGTAAGATTGGGGGTAGAGAAATGGCTCAGGGGTTAAGAGCATTTTACTGATCTTGCAAAAGACCCAGGTTTGGTTTCCGGAACCCACGTGGTGTGTCATGGCCACCTAAAACTCCAATTCCAAGGGACCTGATGGGGATGCCCTCTCCTGGTCTCACAGGGCTCCTTATGCACGCACCCTCAGACATAGACGTTCGAAACTGAGGGAAAGTAAATATTTTAAAGTAAAATAACCCCGGGCCTCTCTTCCCATCAATACAACAGGCATGTCCCTGGATTTAAGGAAATCTAAGCACAACTTCTAGTGCCAGGATTAGTTTTCCAAAAAGGATCCTGAGCACAGATGCTGTGCAGCCTGTGAGATCAAGGTCATTAAGTTTAGTGTCTGTCCTGGAACTAGCTCTTGTAGATCAGGCTGGCCTCGAACTCACAGAGATCCACCTGCCTCTGTCTCCCGAGTGCTGGGATTAAAGGCATGCACCACCACCACCAGGCTAGAGATAACGGTTTTCTAGGATATAACCAGGCACAGAAATCCCTGAGGAAAAGTAACTGTCACCGTCTGTAGTCTTTGCCTCCTATCTGGGAATCCCAACTTCACTGAGCAATCATTGCACAGAGACCAGCCACCAAGTCTTAAATTCACAGAATTCTAAAAGATCCAGGCAGAGGCCGTCAAAGCATTCCACGCAAAAGACCCCGAGGTTGAAGGATTCCTGATACACACAGTCACCTTACCCTCAGAACCACATTACAGCCTTCACCCTGTAACCGACTGGAAAACTAAGACCTACGCTTGCCCAGAGTTATAGCACGGGACAAGGGGTAGGGAGCAGAAAGGCTGCAGAACCCCGGGGCTTGCTTACTTCTCACACCTTGAACAAGTCCTTAAGAGACAGGTCCCTGGGAAACCCCGGACGACTATCCTCGATCTGGCTGTACCTTAGGGTAATCTCGCGAGGACTGCCTCGCTGACAGGACAAACCGATCGAGCACCTGTCATAAGAGGAAAGCAGTCGGCGTGGCCTCCCAGCAAAGATTGCTTCTGGGGGCATAACGCCGCACACAGGAGAGAGAGGTCTCTGCGGTGAGACACATAGATGTGCACGCCCGGATCCTTCACGAATCAAGCCCGGAACCTCAACTAACCCGGACGAGCATGATCCTGAAGGTCCAGAACATCCTCACCCGTCCCTAAATCGCCCTGCGCTGGCGGGGCTCACCCGGGTCCATCCCCGCGCAGCGGCACCTCCCGAGAATCCGCTGCAGCCGGGGCCTTCAAGCGCCAGGCCTCGTCGGCCCGGCCGTCCAAGTGCCGTGACCCTTACAGCTGCCGTCTCTTGGCCCGGCTCGGATCCCAGCCCAGCG